TCTCTACGATGAAAATTACAAAACCTTAGAGAAAGAAATAGAAGAGGATACCAAAAAATGGAAAAATCTTCCATGCTCATGGATTGGAAGAATCAACATCATCAAAATGTCCATTCTCCCAAAAGCAATTTATAGATTCAATGCAATCCCAATCAAGATACCAAAGACATTCTTCGCAGATCTAGAAAAAATGATGCTGAAATTCATATGGAGGCACAAGAGACCTCGAATAGCTAAAGCAATCTTGTACAACAAAAACAAAGCCGGAGGCATCACAATACCAGATTTCAGGACATACTACAGGGCAGTTGTAATCAAAACAGCATGGTACTGGTACAGAAACAGATGGATAGACCAATGGAACAGAATTGAAACACCAGAAATCAATCCAAACATCTACAGCCAACTTATATTTGATCAAGGATCTAAAACTAATTCCTGGAGCAAGGACAGTCTATTCAATAAATGGTGCTGGGAAAACTGGATTTCCACGTGCAGAAGCATGAAGCAAGACCCCTACCTTACACCTTACACAAAAATCCACTCCACATGGATTAAAGACCTAAATCTACGTCCTGACACCATTAAGTTATTAGAGAACATTGGAGAAACCCTTCAAGATATTGGCACAGGCAAAGAATTTCTGGAAAAGACCCGGGAGGCACAGACAGTCAAAGCCAAAATCAACTATTGGGATTGCATCAAATTGAGAAGTTTCTGTACTGCAAAAGAAACAGTCAGGAGAGTGAAGAGACAACCAACAGAATGGGAAAAAATATTTGCAAACTATGCAACAGATAAAGGGTTAATAACCAGAATCTACAAAGAGATCAAGAAACTCCACAAAAACAAAACCAACAACCCACTTAAGAGATGGGCCAAGGACTTCAATAGACATTTTTCAAAAGAGGAAATCCAAATGGCCAACAGGCACATGAAAAAATGTTCAAGGTCACTAGCAATCAGGGAAATGCAAATCAAAACCACAATGAGGTTTCACCTCACCCCGGTTAGAATGGCTCACATACAGAAATCTACCAACAACAGATGCTGGCGAGGATGTGGGGAAAAAGGGACACTAACCCACTGTTGGTGGGAATGCAAACTGGTCAAGCCACTATGGAAATCAGTCTGGAGATTCCTCAGAAACCTGAATATAACCCTACCGTTCGACCCAGCCATCCCACTCCTTGGAATTTACCCAAAGGAGTTTAAATTGATAAAGAAAAAAGCGGTCTGCACCCTAATGTTTATTGCAGCACAATTCACAATAGCCAAGACCTGGAACCAACCTAAATGCCCATCAATGGTAGACTGGATAAAGAAATTATGGGATATGTATTCTTTAGAATACTATACCGCAGTAAGAAACAACAAAATCCAGTCATTTGCAACAAAATGGAGGAATCTGGAACACATCATGCTGAGTGAAGAAAGCCAGTCCCAAAGGGACAAATACCATATGTTCTCCCTGATCGGTGACAACTGACTGAACACCAAAAAGGAAACCTCCTGAAGTGAAATGGACACTATGAGAAATGGTGACTTGATCAGCATAGCCCTGACTGCTAATGGACAACTTAATACATTATCCCTCATAGTATTTTTTTTTTGTCTGTTCTACTTAATATGACTGGTTTAATTCTGTAATTATCACACAGTTATTCTTAAGTGTTGAAAATTAACTGAAATGTGATCCCTGTTAAACATAAAAGTGGGAATAAGAGAGGGAAGAGATGTATAATTTGGGGCATGCTCGGGCCGACTTGCCCCAATTGGTAGAGTTGGAAACATACCAGGGGATTCCAATTCAATCCCATCAAGGTGGCATGTGCCAATGCCATCTCACTATTCCAAGTGATCAATTTCAGTTCACAATTGATCATAATGAAAGGACTAAGAGTCAAAGGGAGCACATAAACAAGTCTAGTATCTGCTAACACTAACCGATAGAATAAATAAAGGGGAGAGTGATCCAACATGGGAAGTGAGATACTCAGCAGACTCATAGAATGGGGATGTCCTAAATAGCACTCTGGCCTCAGAATCAGCCCTAAAGGCACTCGGATCTGGCTGAAAAGCCCATGAGAGTATTTCAGGCATGGAAAGCCAAGACACTCTGGCAAAAGATCTCTGTGAGTGAGATCCCAGTGGAAGGAACAGGTCTTCAAAGAGGGAGGTGCCTTTCTCTGAAGGGAGGAGAGAACCTCCACTTTGACTATGACCTTGTCTAAACAAGATAAGAGTCGGAGAACTCAAGGGGCTTCCATAGCCTTGGAAACTCATGACTGGTGCATAGGGAGATTACTGATGCCATAAACAGGAGTGTCAATTTGTAAGGTCAACAGCGGGAGTCACTGTGCACTTACTCCTCATGTAGGATCTCTGTCCTTAATGTGCTGTACACTGAGGCTTAATGCTATAACGAGTACTCAAACAGTATATTTCACTTTGTGTTTCTATGGGGGTGCAAACGATTGAAATCTTTGCTTAATGTACACTAAACTGATCTTCTGTAAAAAAAAAAAAAAAAGAAATTATCAATTCCCAACTTGACTCTCACTGGGATTAACCATGACAATAGGTCTGATCTGATTTCATCATCATTTAAAAAAAAATCATCTATTATTTTTCACTTTATGTTTCTGTGTGGGAACAAACTGTTGAAATCCTTACTTAAGGTATACTAAGCTGATCTTCTGTATACTAAGATAATCGAAAATGAATCTTGATGTGAATGGAAGGGGAGAGGGAGTGGGAAAGGGGAGGGTGGTGGGTGGGAGGGACGGTATGGGGGGGAAAGCCATTGTAACCCATGAGTCGTACTTTGGAAATTTATATTCATTAAATAAAAGATAAAAAAAAAAAAAAAAGATTTCATTAGATGTTGTGGGACTGGCGCTGTGAAACAGTGGGTTAAGCTGCCATCTGCAGTGCCAGCATTCCTTACTGGTGCTGGTTCAAGTCCCAACTGCTCCACTTCCAGTCCAGCTCCCTGCTTATGCACCTGGGAAAGCAGCAGAAGATGGCCCAAGTCCTTGGGCCCCTGCACCCGCGTGGGAGACTTGGATGAAGCTCCTGGCTCCTGGCTTCATGTTGGCCCAGCCCTGGCCATTGTGACCATTTCGGGAGTGAACCAGTGGATGGAAGATCTCCCTGTGTGTCTCTGTTTCTCTCTCTATAACTCTGCTTTTCAAGTAAATAATTTAATAAATCTTTTAAAAAACTTACAAGAATAGATTTGTGTCATAAATGTATTTTATAGGTTAAGGATTTAAGGAAAGATCAGCAATAAATATATAGTTGTTAAACCTTGACAGGTTGACCTGGATTCAGCATTTTCAGACTGATCTGAACAGGTGGTGGTGTAGGGATCTGTGGTTTTTGTGATATGATTGTGCTCCCTCACAAATTGTTATTTTTATCAGATTCCATTTAGTCTAAGTACATGGGAACTAGGAAGGGAGGGCATTCGAGTGCAGGGTGAGGTGAAGAGTGGAGATGGGATGGATGGGAATTGAAGTGAGGACAGAAGAGGTCTGGGGCCATCCCTGATCTGTCAGCACCCCTCTGCCTTCTAACCCATCTTCCTAAAACACGGCCCTGTCAGCTCTCACTAAGCATTCCCTCCTTTATGCCTGTCTCGTCATTCTCATGAAATATCCCTAGTCATCTTCATTCCCATGTTGTCATTTCTTACTGAACATTGCCTTACACCCGACCTTTTTAAATTTTTTTAAGATTGATTGATTGATTTGACTGAGTTAGATGGGGCCGGCGCTGTCATGCAGTGGGTTAAAACCCTGGCCTAAAGCGCTGGCATCCCCTATGGGCGCCGGTTCTAGTCTTGGCTGCTCCTCTTCCAATCCAGCTCTCTGCTATGGCCTGGGATAGCAGGAGATGGCCCAAATCCTTGGGCCCCTGCACTCACAAGGGAGACCCGGAAGAAGCTCCTGGCTCCTGGCTTCGGATTGGCACAGCTTTTGTCATTTGGGGAGTGAACCAGCAGGTGGAAAGACCTCTCTCTGTCTCTACCTCTCTTTCTGTAACTCTGTCTCTCAAATAAAAATAAATAAATCTTCAAATATATATATAAAATATATATATATAAATTTATATATAATATATATATATATGAAAGGCAGAGTTAGAAACAGAGATCTTCCATTCACTGGTTCACTCCCCAGATGGGTGCAATGGCCAGCACTGGACCAGGCTGAAGCCGGGATCTTCATCCTGACCTCCCACATGGGTGCAAGCACTTGGGCCATCTTCTTCTGCTTTCCCAGGCCATTAGCAGGCAGGTGGATCTGAAGTGGAGTAGCAGGACTCGAACTAACAACTAAGTGGGGTGCTGGTGTTGAAGGTGGCAGCTTAACCTTGCTGTGTCCCAGTGCCGGCCCCTTCTGACTTCTCACAGCCACTTTGACTTCCCACTCCCTCACTTCCTCGCTCCCAGCCTGACGTTGCTCACCCGATGTTCCCTGGCTTCCTGACACTCGTCCTGTCAGGTATCACCAGACACCGTGTGCCTGCTGCATGCTCAGTCTCTGCCCGTCCCCTGTCAGATCCTGAAGATGCTCCTCCTAGAGTGAACCATTGATTTATCGCACAGGCTGGGCCGTTACCAAAGCCCAGGGAGAGAGGTCGTGTGCACCGCGTCTCTTCAGGCTGCCTCGCACACATGCGTGTGTTGAGTACTCAGCCTTTGTCCTTACCCTGTGATTTTCATTATTCAGTGAATAAAATGGTATGCGAGGTCAAGTAATGGCCCTCCTGTGGAGTTTATTTGACTTTTCCCATTGGTTTCTGCTATTGTGTGAAATGACCTTGGAGTTTCCTTTTTATTTATTATGTGGTGGGGCCAAATACTTATTTGTGGAGATGGATAAAATGAGAAGATATTCTTAAAATTATAGTACATTTTATATGTGTATATATGTGTACACACAAACACACGTCTCTGTTTTTTAACTAGACTCCTGATTGGTTTTTCAAAGGTGATTTCCGTTCTACTGGAAGAGGATCGTTTGGCAGCTGAGCCCAGCTGGAATCTCAGGGCTCAAGACCACACGCTGCACTTCAGTGACAGCTCCTCTCAGCTGAATACTCAGCTGCCGTTCCTTCAGAGTAAGAGACCGTCCTTGAATGCGGCGTTGCATTTAACTGCTAACACGTATGCTGAGTAGCGACCTGTACTTTTACATTCTACTTTCATGTGATGGGATTTTTCATATACAAAAGAAAGACTCAGTTTCTACAGAATGTGAAAGTGGTTAAATTTATTGTTCTTAAATGTTTATGTTAAATTTATGGTTAACAGCTTTCATAAAATGATTAGAAGAGGGGCACACAGTAATTTAAATAAATGAGGATGTTTAACAGTTTTTTGTATTATTATATTATTTTTTAAAGTTTTTAAAAAAAATTTTATTTATTATTTGAGAGGCAGAGACACACAGAGATAAATAGAGAGACAGAGAGAGAGAGCAATCTCCCTTCTAGTGGTTCACTCCCCAAATGCCTGTAGCAGCCAGGGTTGGGGCAGCTGAAGCTGAGAGCCAGGGACTCAACCTGGGTTTCCCTTGTGAGTGCAGGAATCCAGGAATCGAGTCATCCCCTGTTGCTTCCCAGGGAGTATTTCAGCAGGAAGCGAGAATCAGGAGTGGAGCCAGGACCCAAACCCAGGGACCCTCACATGGGATGTGGCCATCCCAAGTGGTATCTTAACTGCTAGGCCAAATGCTCACCTCCCATATTTGCTTAAATCCTTATTTCTTTTTCTTTCCAGTTATTCTCCTTTTTTATTTATTGAAATAGCATAGAGGAAACAGTTGGAGCAGCATGAGAGTTTGGGTCAGAGTTGCATTAGTTTAGATATCGTGTAAGATGCCCAGCACTTACCATAGATACGCTTCAAGTTTTACGTTGATGTTGGATACAGAACAGAAAATGCTAAATAAATGAAGCGCATAATATCAAACATAAGATATAATTGCATAAGATATAGTTGCTTACATGGTTGAAACGAGTTACATTTGCAAGACTGAATTTAGATTTCTTAAGCTGTTAGCCTCCTTGCCTTGAACAACGTGCTCGTGAGGTGGCATCAGGCTTTGCAGGTCCTGGTCTGTGTGAGGAGGTGACAGGATTCAGGGAAGCCCGGCAATTGCTCTCTCTTCAGTAGGTTACGGTATAAATGTGCTCAAGGGCAGGTGTGAAACCAGAACCGTTGGTGCCATTGGTCTTGGTGTGAATAGCTAGTAGGTAGAGGCAAGTGGCCTGTCCTGGACTGCACTGTACCACGTTTGAAGGAGTTCTCTTTAGTGAAACCATAAGATCAGCTTCGACATAATGTTTAGGTACAGGCTACGGCCATTTATCAGATCCCAAATTTGAGAGACCATGTATGTTTCTTTATTAAACTGAAATTCACTTGGATATTCTGAAGTGTGTTAATTTAACATGGGTTCTGGCAAATCACTGAAATGCAAAAATATTCTTCTTGTCCCCAGATCGAAAAGTATCCGGCTTGCATGCCTCTCAAGTTCAGAGGCAGACGGTCGTCTCCGTTCATGACTTACCTGAAAAGGAGTTCGTCCATCCACTGGACGGAAGATACATCCTCTGCGTGTGGGATATTTGGCAGCCATCAGGGCCCCAGAAGGTTCTGATATGTGAGTCCAAGGTAAGCTGAGGGAGTTGCCTGTTTGATCATCTGAAGGGTCGTGGACTCTGAAGCTGCAGAGGAGAGAGGGAGCAGGGACAGTGAGGGAGAATGCGAACTTAGAGCATTCCTTTCTCACAGCCACGCCCAGCTCTGTTGCAGGGGTGACAAGACTCGTGTTTTGACAATAGAAATTCCTAGTTCAAAGGACCAACTCAGACTGAGAGGCCCAGAATTATTGTTGGGCAGCCTCTGTGGTCCACTGAAAATTAGGTAACGGCTATCGTTTTAGGCTCAGTGAAAATACTTGGCCACCCTGGACATGGCTGTGGGAATCCTTGCACTATTTGGATCCTTCTTAGTGTTGCTGAGGTTTCTTAAAATAGTTGGAAATGCTTTTGTCCTCAGAGTCCTCCCTCAGTTTCATGCATCCGCCTCATTGTTGATGCCTGGCTTTGTGCCTGTGCAGGTCCAGTGGGAGACCTGCCCTTTTTTGTTTGCTCCCTTTTTGACAGGGGACATACATGAGGTCATCCCCCAGATACCCGTGGGAGATTGCTTCCAGGACTCCTGTGGGTCCCCCAATCTGAGGATACTCAGATCCCTTGTATAAAGTACACAGTGTTTGTATATAGCTTACACAATCCTCCTATGTACTTTTAGTCATCTTCATAGTATAATACCTCATACAATATAAATATGTAATTGGTTATTCCTTATTGTTTATAGAATAACAAGAAAAATGTCTGTGCATGGTTAGTACAGACACAGTTGTTTTTGGAATATTTTCCATCCATGATTGATTGAACCGTGGATGTGCGGAACAGGGATACGGATGGCCAGCTCTATTTGTATTTTCCTATTTATAAATTTCTTGCCCTCAAAGACACTGATTTCCACCAGTTATTGAGAATAATTTTTGTCGATGTAGGGGACTTGAGAATTGCAACTTTTTGCAATGCAATGTAAATAGAATAACAAAGTATATAATTGCCATTTTTGAGGTCCAGGTAACTGAGTTCAGTTGAAGGGGTCACTCCATACTTGTTATGTGCCCCTATGTGTGCTAAGCATCTTTTGTGTCAGTTATTACAATCTTATGAGCTAGTTTTGTTATCCCTATTTTCCATTTAAAGAAACTGACACTCAGACAAATGAAATTTTTATGTGCAGAAAAAAAAGTACATAGACTAGTTACTACGCGTCACAGCTTCCTGGTGTGAAAGGTTTTATAGTGACACCTATGTAAAATAAAAAAGCGCCCGATGCCGGAGTCAGTAAAGTTAACTTCTGGGAATGTGGTTTTCATGTTTTTGGCCATCACTTTCCTGTGTGCCTGTTTTTCAGGTCACTTGTTGCTGCTTTAGCCCTGTTAAAGCATTTTTGCTGTTTGCTGGCACAGCGCATGGCTCAGTAGTTGTGTGGGATTTAAGAGAAGATTCGAGGATACATCATTATGTGAAGCTGAGCGATTGCTTTTGGACCTTCAGGACAGCAACGTTTTCTACTGGTCAGTGTCATGTGTGTGCTGGTGATGTGTCTCCTAGCAAAGCCATGGCAGATCTGAAGACTGGGCTTTTACACTTATTCACCTTTGTTCATTCAGCTGATCTCAGGGCATGGGATCTGACGCATGGGCGAAAGAGACAAATAGAAAAAACCAAAATCCATTCAAGGAATGCTTATCTGGTAGCCAGCAATGATTGGAATTTTTTTTTTCTTATTAAGTCTGTAGCAACCAAAAAATCCTCCAAAAAATAACTTTTAATCCCAAGTTAGCCCAAAGTGTGTTACGTGTGTGCTCCTATGGCATAGTTAACTAGTACTTGAAATAGTCACCTCTTGGGGGATGAAAGAAACCAGAACAGTGAGACCACCTGGGACCCGCAATCTGACTCCGGTGAACAGTTGGTGCCATGCTGTACCACAGCCACCATAGTAGGTAATAAGTAAGCATTTCCTCTGTTTGAGGACTTTGCCTAAGTGCTTTGTGTATATCCTAATTTAAATTTCTCATGTAGTCCTGTGTTACAGATCCTCAGGAATGAAATATTTGTCCAGGGTCAGACTGACTCCATGGGCCAGGCCTGCACACATCCCCAGTTTTATGACTTATGCTGTGCTGTGACACCTTACCTTTTGTGACCAGCTGTAGGGGCTGGAATCCTGCTGACCGAATGCATACTTTCTGTCTCTGACTGGGGTCCCCCCTCCCCCCCCCCCGTTCCTGCTCACAAGCCCACCACACAACAATGACTCTTGATTTTTCTCTCTCTCCTTTCCCATAGGCTGCTGATCTGTTTTCTGACCCTATAGTCTGCCTTACTCCAGGGGTCAAATAAAAGGAATCTTATAGTTAGGGGAATGCAGTTGCATGTTGCAGAATTTCATTCCTGTGCCGGATTCTGTCCCGGTTGTTCCTCTTCCAGGCCAGCTCTCTGCTGTGGCCCGGGAGGGCAGTGGAGGATGGCCCAAGTGCTTGGGCCCTGCACCCGCATGGGAGACCAGGAAGAAGCACCTGGCTCCTGGCTTTGGATTGGCGCAGTGTGCCTGCCGTGGCGGCCATTTAGGGGGTGAACCAATGGAAGGAAGACCTTTCTCTCTGTCTCTCTCTCTGTCCACTCTACCTGTCCAAAAAAAAAAAAACTAATCATAAACTCATAAACAAAAAAAGCATGTAATAGTACCTTGTATTTTTAACTTCCATTCCCTAATGAATATTTTTCCCAATCTGTGGTCTCCTTCCTCTTAACTGTTTCAAATAGAAAGTTTTACATTTAATAAAATTCAGTTTATCTTTTTTATGATCATACTTTTAGAGTCACAAATAAGCAATCTTTGCTTAGCTGAAAATTATAAAGCTTTTCTCCTGTTTTCTTCTAGTTTTATGGTTTTAGGTTTCTAGTTAATTTTGTGCATGGTGAGAGGTATTGGGTGAGATTCATTCTTTTTGTATATGGATATCCAGTTATTTAATAATATTGTGTGTGGAAACTTTCATTCTTGAGAGATAGTATGGAGGACATACAAGTGGAGTGTCAGGGTCTCAAGCCCTAGGCTGGCCCCTGACCAGCAGGGACCACTACAGACACTCCCCAACAAGGCGAACGGGAGAGGTAAGGTCGACGGGTGAAGAACAAACACAGCAAGCACCTGTGAATTCTGTCGAAGCAGGAACTACTTTATTGAGGAAGTGTGCAGGCTTATAAAGCTTACGAAAGACATGCGCAGCAGGGGAGCCAATCAGTGAAAAGGTCACGCAGGCGTGGGTGGAGCACGCACAGGGGCACCTTAAGCAAAGTATAGGGATCACGCACTGTGCACGTGTCCAGGACCAAAGCAGACCTATCCCTGCCGGTGGTCTGATCTTACGTGGCTTAACCCCAGCAGCCGCAGACACGCCCCTCGAACATCCGCCAGGCGCCATGTTGTAATGGAGATTGTAGGCAGTGCCCAACAGTAGAGGTTTATAGTTCCTTTTTCTTTCTGATTTTCTGTTGTTCTATATCTGACTTCCACAGTTTCTATTGAGAAGTCAAATATTAATCTGTTATTTTTTCCCTTGCTTAAAAAAGCACTTGTTTTTCTTACTGCTCTGTGCATGTGGCTTCCCGCAACTTGATTACGATTCTGTCTCAGCGTGGTTTCTCCTGTACATCCTTCTCTCCCTCCTAACTCCTGGCACCCACTTACCTTTTACTGTTTCCTTACTTTTGCCTTTTTCTGCATGCCATCTAGTTGGAATCACGTAGTATTTTCATTGCCTTCTTTCACTTAGTAATGGGCAGTTAAGGTTCTTCCATTTCTTTTCATGCCTTGATATCTCACTCTAAAGTTTATTTTGTTTTATATTCTTTAAAATTCTGCTTAGTGAACAGTATTCCACTGCATGGATGTGCCTCCATTTACTTACTTATTTATTCATTCATTCACGTGTTGAAGGACAGCTTTGTTGCTCGCCGTGATGAGTAATTTCCAAGCTGTGACATTTGTGTGTGTGTTTAAGACTTATTTGTTTATTTGAAAAGCAGAGTGATAGGGAGAAAGAGAGAGAGGAAGAGAGACAGACAGATACCAATATCGATCTCCCACGCACTGGTTCATTCCCCAAATGCCTGCCATAGCTGGGCTGGACCAGGCCGGAGCCAGGAGCCAGGAACCTGCATCTGGGTCTCTCCAGTGTGTGGCAGAACCAAAGTACTCGCACTACCATCTGCTGCCTCCCGGTCTCACGAGCAGGAAGCTTGATTGGAAGTAGAGGCAGGACTCCATCCGGGGCTCTCTGATGCGGGATACAGGCAGTTTGATATGGGATGCCAGATTCCCAGGAGGAGGCTTTACCTCTTGTGCCACAACACTTGCCCCCTCAATTTCTTTCAGAAAAGATTTGACTTAATTTGGAATGTTGAGTTTTGCTAGAGTTCTGCTTTGTGGTTGTCTTTTGAGGGGGATGAGACTTTTCATCAGTTGGAATGCTTTGACTTGTATTTTCTGTTTTCTTACTATAGTTGCTTTGTATGGAGTTTGCTGGGTTTTTTTCCCTACTCCTAGACATTTTCTAGACAAATATTCTAATTTGTAAAATGTGTTTCTTTAATGGAAAGTGTTGCTTGTGGTGATGGTGGGTGGGGCTGGTGTGTCTTTTAGCTTTGGGTTTTTTTTGTTTGTTTTTGACAGGCAGAGTTAGACAGTGAGAGACAGAGACAGAGACAGAGAAAGGCCTTCCTTCTGTTGGTTCACCCCCAAAATGGCCCTACGGCCGGAGCTGGGCCAATCTGAAGCCACGAGCCAGGTGCTTGCTCCTGGTCTCCCATGTGGGTGCAGGGCCCAAGCACCTGGGCCATCCTCCACTGCACTCCCTGGCCACAGCCAAGAGCTGGACTGGAAGAGGGGCAACCGGGACAGAATCCGGTGCCCTGACCGGGACTAGAACCCGGGGTGCCGGTGCCGCAGGCGGAGGATTAGCCTAGTGAGCCGCGGCGCCAGCTAGCTTTGGTTTATAAGAGCCTGGGTTTCTCTCTTGCTCCCTGGTGTCCCTGGCACTGCCCTGTCTCCAGTGGCACCTTCCTTTTCTGTTGGCCTCCTTCCTAAGCTGCGTCACTTCCTGTGGTCCCTTCACTTCCCTGTAGCTGTCGAGAGCCCGCGGGATCCGGCTCAGCGTTAGAGCCTGTCTTTCTGAGGGCGCTGGCGCTGGGATTTGTTTGTCTTCTTCCAAGCACTTTGAAGTCCATGGTCTCTGCTTGCTGGGAATGCTGAGGGTGTCACTTTACGTGTGGTCCATGTTGGTCTTGTGGTTTTCTGGGGGGACCTATGGGGAGATTTGGATCTCTCAGGCCCAGAAGCACCTCCATGTTTGTCCATGCAAGCATCCCTTGTATATCTCTGATTTGCTGCTGACTTGTGGGTGCTGTGGGTTTTAATCTCCAGATGGAATCCTTCTATCAGTAAACCATCGGAGTCCCATTCAAGCAGTGGAACCGATCTCGACGTCTGCTTGCAAGAAGCAGAGCTTTGTGCTTTCACCCTTTTCTACTCAAGAAGGTACCGAGCCCTCATTTTCTTTGTATCCTTAAATGAGCCGCTGGGTTTGTGGTTTCCTTGTTTAAACTTTTTCTTTGTCCTCTTTGTTAGAAAGACCAGGTGTGTCCTTCCACATGGCTTCCTTGGATGAGAGTGGCGTGCTCAACGTGTGGGTAAGTGCGAGCCCAGGGCCCTGTGCAGCAGGAATGAGGAGGTCTGGGGAGGGGCCAGGGCAGTAGTAGGGCAGCAGTATGGGACCTGCCCTGGGCAAGTCAGGAGCAAGCCTGGGTTTCCTAGCTCTGGGAGAGGAGGTGTGGAGTGTCATGCGCAGCAGGTTTGGGGCCCAGCCTGACTCCTCAATATGGATATGTGGTTTGGCAATTGGAACAAAATGTCCAGAACTACAGGAAGGCCTCAGGACTCATCCTAGAGCGTGAACGGAAGTTTGGCTGCCAATGAAGTTCCTGAGCATAGAGATATGAAAGAGTAGCATTTAAAATATTGTCCCTACAAAAAAAATGACCTAAATGAAAGATCTCTACGAGTGAGATCCTGGGGGAAAGAAGGGACCATCAAAGGAGGTACCTTTCTCTGAAGGGAGGAGAGAACTTCCACTTTGACTATGACCTTGTCTAAAGAAAGATAGGAGTCGGCGAACTCAAAAGGCTTCCATAGCCTTGGCAGCTCATGACAAGAGTCTCGGGTGATTACTGATGTCATAAATAAGAGTGTCAATTGTTAAATCAAAAACAGGAGTCATTGTGCACTTACTCCCCATGTAGGACCTCTGTCCTTAATGTGTTGTACTATGAGAATTAACTGTAAAACTAGTCTTCAAACAGTACTTTATACTTTGTGTGTCTGTGTGGGTGCAAACTGTTGAAATCTTTACTTAGTATGGAGTTGATCTTCTATATATAAAGATAATTAAAAATGAATCTTAATGAGGAATGGGATGGGACAGTTTGGGGGTAGGAGGGCAGGTATGGGGGAAAGAACTACTATAATCCAAAAATTGTATTTATGAAATTTATATTTATTAAATAAAAGCTTTCTTAAAAAATCGTCACTAAGCCCCAAAATAAAATATTGTCCCTAAAGTTCATGGTTGAGGATAGGTTTTTGGTGTAACAGTTAAGAAGCCCCTTGGGATTTCTGGATCCCATACCCGAGCGCCTGGTTCATGTCCTGGTTCTGCTCCTGATTCCAGCTTCCTGCTAATGTACTTCCTGGGTGGCAGCAGGTGATAACTGAAGTAACTGGGTTCCTGCCACCCATGTAGGAAACCTAGCTTGAGTTCTGGACTCCTGGATTTAACCTGGCACAACCCTGGCTGTTGTGGGCCAGTGTATGGGAAGTCTGTAACTCTCCATCTCTCTCTATCTCTCTGCTTTTCAAATAATAAATTAAAAATTAAAACATAATGATCCATCTCTTTTCTGGAGCAGTTATATTTTTAGCAGCTAATACAGCATGCTATCTTAATTAGAGCTATGCTTTGCTTAGATTGTTTCATGATTACAAAACATATCAATATTCATTTTCAATATTTTGTTTTTAGGTGGTTGTTGAATTACCAAAGGCAGACATCGCAGGTTCAATAAGTGATTTAGGTAATTAAAAAAAATTAATTTTAGTTGATGTTTTCTAAAATTAGTAGAAATTAAAAATACCAGTAACTGCTTTGAAAAATCTGTAATCAGCTGCCTGAAAAATAAATGCTAAAGTTGTGTGTGATATAATCTTACGAGTTATTCACTAAGCACCTCAGTTAACATGAGTAATCAAAGGGTAATCTGTTTTATTTTAGCGAGTTCTGTTTGCAGCTGCGTATCACTGTATTTTACTTATGAGAGTGCCTTTTCTAGTAGTCACCAGGTGTCCACGGCCTTGGGTCTTCATTTTGGGTCTGTGGTGTAAGTGCACTGCAGGAACCTTCCTCAGGTCATAGAATTGGCTGAGGGCCAGTACACTCTTGTCTGGGTGCAGCAGAAGTGACCCGGAGGAACAGTAACCAGATCCCCACAGTTTGCTGTTGCTGATGCTGTGCAGTATGGTTTTCAGCCTTAGTTCCAAAAAGAACTCAGAAATCATGGAGTAATTCTGTCTTGTTGCATTCTGTCGTCTAGCTTAGCCCATGTTTTATACTCGACTTTCTCATTGCTTTATTAGCCTCTGACCTCTCATTTCTAATGACAAGCCTCCCCACTTGTTTGTATCGAGAGTGTGTCTCCAGGTGGATCTTGCAAAAAGTACATGACAGGATTAATACTGACTTTATTCCCAACTTCTTGAAATAAGGCAAGAGGGACACTTTGTTATCTGTGGAGCAGGTGCTGTGTGCTTCATATCCAAATGTCAGTGATAAAGTTCAGTATAGACTGTAATGAAAACGAGCCCTCCTCAAATAGCATCCTTCCTGCTTGCTTTGCAACCATCGCTCGAAGGATGCTGGCACCTGAGAGCTGCAGAAGCCTTTGAGGTTTCCTAGGCCCGCCTCTGTGTGCACGAGTCATTGAAGCTGATCACAGTGAGGCCAGGCTGAGAACTGACCCCGGCTTCTCATCCAGGCTTATTCCCCGAACACCCAGATTTCTCTTAACCCTGAGGACTCACCCAGAGGCTGATCATGCTAGTCACTTGTTACATGGCCAAGGCAATTTCCCAGCAATTAGGGATAATGCTAAGGAGTTTAAGGAGTCTGTCCACAGTTAATAAACCTGGCTGTGGAGAAATGTATTTCATTGTTAAATGTTGCTATATAAAAACACGTTTTGGGGCAGGTGTTTGGTTCAGTGGTTACGCCACCACTTGGATGAGCACATCTCTTATCAGAGTGCCTGGGTTTGAGTTCCCAGTTCCATTCTCGACCCAAACTTGCTGCTAATAATGTGCACCCTGCGAGGCAGCAGATGATGGGTCAAGTGCTAGGTCCCTGCTATCCACGTAGGAGACCTGGATTAAATTCCCAGCTTCTGACTTTGGCCTTGCTTAGCTGTTGTGGGCATTTGGGGAGTGAACCAGTAGATAGCTCTCTCTCTGTCTCTCTGCTTAGCGAATAAAATGAATAAATAAAAATAAAAAAAACCCACAAACATCTTGTGTCTGCTAAACTACTTACCAGAGCTTCGGTGATGTTCTAGCCTTGTCTTTAGGAAAGGAGAGAAGGTCACACAGCAAGCGGATGAAGGTGATTCCGTGCTCACTGGTGTATGTTGGGGTTCATTCCTTTATGAATGTTCTGTGCACAAGCTGGTCAGTCCCAGGTGCCTGGGAAACGCTGTTGGAGAGGTGACGACTGCTGCTGTAAGTGCTGGAACAGAGGAGGCCAGTCACGAGACTTCCTACGGCAGGTAGACGTGAGCTGAGATTCTAGGTTGAGGGCAGTCTCCGATTTGTGAATAGCTGCTTGAGCATTCTTGCATTAGAGTTAAAATTGTGACAAGTAACGTGCAGTATAATCACAGTCGCTCTTTCCAACTGCAAATTGAATTTATTTCTGTGTACTTTATGATTTAAAAGCTTTTTTTTTTTTTAATTTGTTTTGCACCCCAGATGCCTAGGGTAGCCTGTGTCTGGGGTCAAAGCCCTGAGCCAGGAAGCCAGTCCAGTTCACATGGGTGGCAGGAGCCCAGTCCCTGGAGCCACCACTGCTGCCTTTCAGGGCCTGCGTTAGCAGGAAGCTGCAGTTAGAGGCACAGCTGGATGTTGAACCCAAGGACTCTGATCTGGGATGTGGGTGTCCATGGGCCGGTGTGGTGGTCTAGCAGTGAAGTCTCCACCAGTTTGCCAGCGTCCCATATGGGTGCCGGTGCGGCATCCTAACCAGTGTCTTAACCTCTAGTTCAAATGCCTGCTGCTTTATCCATATACTTAAAAAATTTATTTACGTTTATGTATCTGCTGGTTTAATCCCCAAATGCATGCAACAGCTAGGGCTGGGCCGGGCTGAAACCAGCAGCCTGGAATTCAGTCTGGTTCTCCCATTTGGGTGGCAGTGACCCAAGCACAGGATCATCACCTGCTGCCTCCCAGGGTGTGCGTTAGCAGGAATCTGGCAGTGGAAGCAGAAGCAGAACTCAAACCCAGGCACTCAGCATGGGAGGCGGGTGGCCCAGGCAGCACCTAACTGCTGCACCAAATGCTTGCCCCTGTTTATACGTTTAATCCTACTCCCAATGTTCGAGGCACTTCCTTGGCCCAAATTGGGGCTCTAGTGTATAGGAATTTCCACTTTTCCTTCTGCAATAATTTTATTTTAAAGTGGGATTGATGTTGAGCATAAAGGGAAGAGGCGAAGCTGGTCAGTGATCACGAGTTACCACGGTGGTGTGGACGTTGTAGGGAGGTGCAAGGAAGGAGAAATAAAGTCAGGCCTTAGAACTGTAGCCTTTTTGTTTGAGAGAAGGAAGTTAAAGGGGCTGATGCTGCAACAAGTGGAGCTAGAGGAGCCCGGAGACCTCTGTCCACTTGCTGCAGGGCCTGAAGCTTTCAAAGGGGGGCTTTGAAGTGGTGAGGAGGGAGGTGCGGAGGGCCCAGCCCTTGCGCTGGTGAGTTTAAGGGTGAGTCATTCACACATATGTCTGCATGAATAAGGGTGAACTGCCCTCGTTTCAACAGATCTGAAGCTGAGCTCTTAACCTGAGGCAGTGTGTGAACGTCCCTCAGAATTAGGAAGGAAATACTGTTTGTTGATTTCTGTTTTGATACTGTTTCCTAACACGTATTTAAGAAATAAAAAATGATTCCAGGCAACTGTAATGAGCTTTCGTTAAAAAGTGCCCTTACTTCTGGTCTGTGTTTAGGTCTGATTCCTGGAGGGAGGATAAAGTTGGTGCACAGTGCTACGATCCAGCTGGGCGACAGGTGAGGCTGCTGCTTTGAGCTCAGATGCTCGCTCCGTCGTCTCTCAGAGAGAGAGACGTAACGTTTAACTGCACAGACAATGAATGCAAAGTTGTCAGTGAAGACACATTTTCTCACACTGCTGTTTAGTCAGTTCGTTATTCATGAGTTACTGTGATAAATATAACTTCCAGGTACAGAGCTACCGTTTTACTTTGATGAAAAATTTCCTGTCTTATGAGTTGATACTCTTTGGCCATTTTTAATCCACTTGTAATGCTTGAGTAAGGCTTCAGGAACTAGAAACCTTAATAGAAAATTTTTTTGTTTCTGTTCCTGTTTTTCCACAGAAATTTAGATTTGGATTACTGGGGGAGTGAGCCAGTGCATGGGGGCTTTCTGTCTGTCTGTCTTTGTCTTTCACTAATTTCAAATTAGTTAAATAAAAACTTAACAAATCTAGATTTTTACTTTTACTCATATCACTTAAAATGACATCTATGTTCTTAATAAATACACAAATATCACTTGTGATATTACATATTCTGTGTTAATTTATTTCCTAAAGATATCTTTTCTTGCCATTTATTGCACTCAGGCTAAAATTTTTGAAAAAATTTTTGAGCCTGGTTCCTCCATCACACAAAATGCCTCTGGGTTATGTTAATGAATTCATGGACATTAAAGCTGATTTAAAACATAACTCTGAAAGTAACCAGTGTATTTTAAAAAGCCATCTAATGTGTGAGAGGTCATGGAAAATGCATACTATGAAAAATATTTTGCGTCAAAATATGCTTATCTTCTGCTTCTATTTTTCTGTGAACTTTTTGAAGTACTTTTGTGTTACAGAGTCAGGCACACTTGATTTCTAAGCAGCTCTGTGTGGTTCCCTTGATGAATTTCTTTTAAGACTTTTTGTCTTTCTTAATAGTCTTTCTCACTTCCTAGCATGTATTCTATTTATTTTTTTTTAATGATAGATTTCTCCTAGACTTAATTAGGTGCTCTTTGAAGGGAAGTGTCTAATGTACCTGATGTCATGTTTTCTCCATAAAACCTCCTGAGAGTAATGCGTGGTAATCAGACTTGATACAGCCGTGCTGCGTATATTCTGCTCCAAGAGTAGCATCTTCCCCCTGTAGCTCTGTTAAGGAGGCAGACAGGTGAACACAGCAACTATTGCAGGTGGAGGTCCTGCTTCCAGAGGGAGGAGACTGTGGGATGGAGTTTAGTGTGGGGACGTTTCCTAGGGAATTCCTGGAACCAGCACCTGGACAAGGGAGGGCAGGAGGCAGACTGGTCCAGGAATCCTCCCAGGACAGTCTCCGGCCCTGGGGACTTGGAGCCGGAATGGCTTTTCAGAATCGCTATTGCCAGGCCCTCAGACCCGCTTTCCCGTCAGTCCTTGGAGGTGGGCGTCCTTGGGAGGGTGTGTCACTTGGATGAAGTTGCTCGTGTAACTGCCTGCCTGCAGCGCCCCACCTCTGCGCCAACAAGCTCTCCACGGAAAGCGGTGTTCAGTGCACATCTGCTCATCCGTTGTGGTTGTAACACACAGCATGCAGTACTTGTTGGGGCAGCCACAGGGCCTGTGGGAGCTCAAAAGAGGGAATAGTTGGCCGGCGCTGCGGCTCACTAGGCTAATCCTCCGCCTAGCGGCGCCGGCATACCGGGTTCTAGTCCCGGTCAGGGCGCCGGATTCTGTCCCGGTTGCCCCTCTTCCAGGCCAGCTCTCTGCTGTGGCCAGGGAGTGCAGTGGAGGATGGCCCAGGTGCTTGGGCCCTGCACCCCATGGGAGACCAGGAAAAGCACCTGGCTCCTGCCATCGGATCAGCGCGGTGCGCCGGCCGCGGCGGCCATTGGAGGGTGAACCAACGGAAAAGGAAGACCTTTCTCTCTGTCTCTCTCTCTCACTGTCCACTCTGCCTGTCCAAAAAAAAAAAAAAAAAAAAGGGAATAGTTTAGGGGATGGTGTGAAATGGTGACTTTGTGGCGAGGTGATCAGTGAGCCATGCCTTTAAAAGGTGCATGGTAGGTAGACTTAGGAATGCGTTCTGGCCCAGAGGCAGGAAGGTGCATGGCGCATTTGGAAATGCCAGTGAGTCTGACGTTGAGAGAGATGGGGATGAGTCAGTGGCCAAGACCCTGATGCGGCTGTTTGCTGTGCTGAGGAGTTGAGAAATTACCATGCAGGTGATAGGGAGTTATTGCACGATTTTAAGCAAAGAAAGGACATGTCTAACTTGAGTTTCAGAATGATAGACTTGGAGCAGGGTGAGCTGGCAGCAGAGGGAAGGAGGCTGGATCAGGGAGATGGTGTGCGAGGCTGTTGTGCTGATCCCTGAGGCAGACGGAGCAGCTGCGGGCCCTCTCCCGTTACAGGTGCATGTATGCCTAAAGAAAAAAATAAAGCCAGATGCAGCTTTTGAAAAAGTCTAAATCTATTTAAATGCCAGAAACAAGGAGAGAACCTAAGTTGGTGTAATAAACTTTTTTAAAAACAGGATTTATTTTATTTATTTGAAAGAGTTACAGAGAGAGGTAGAGACAGAGAGAGAGGTCTTCCGTCTGCTGGTTCACTCCCCAGATGACCACAACGGCTGGAGCTGAGCCGGTCTGAAGCCAGGAGCCTCTTCCGGATCTCCCATGTGGGTGCAGCGGCCCAAGGATTTGGGCCATCTTCTACTGCTTTCCCAGGCCACAGCAGAGAGCTGGATCAGAAGAGGAGCAGCTGGGACTCAAACCGGCACCCATTTGGGATGCTGGCACTTCAGGCCAGGGCTTTAACCTGTTGCGCCACAGCGCCAGCCCCTAAACTTTTTTTTTTTTTTTTTTTAAAGATATATTTATTGGCCGGCGCCGTGGCTCACTTGGCTAATGCTCCGCCTGGGGCTCTGGCACCCAGGGTTCTAGTCCCGGTTGGGGTGCTGGATTCTGTCCCGGTTGCTCCTCTTCCAGGCCAGCTCTCTGCTGTAGCCCAGAAGGGCAGCGGAGGATGGCCCAAGTGCTTGGGTCCCTGCACCCACATGGGAGACCGAGAGGAAGTACCCGGCTCCTGGCTTCAGATCAGCATAGTGCCAGCCGTGGCGGCCATTGGGGGAGTAAACCAATGGAAGGAAGACCTTTCTCTCTGTCTCTCTCTCACTGTCTATAACTCTCTCTCTGTCTCTCTCACTGTCTAACTCTGCCTGGCCAAAAAAAAAAAAAAGCTAGATTATTTATTTGAAAGTCAAGAGTTACACAGAGAGAAACAGAGAGAGAGAGAGAGAGAGAGAGAAAGAGGCGTCTTCCATCCACTGGTTCACTCCCCAATTGGCCACAACAGCCAGAGCTGCACAGGTCCAAAGCCAGGAGCCTAGAGCTTCCTACATGGGTGCAGGGGCCCAAGAACTTGGGCCATCTTGTTCTGCTCTCGCAAGCCATAGCAAAGAGCTGGATTGGAAGTGGAGCAGCTGGGACTTGAACTGGTGCCTATATGGGATGCCAGCACTGCAAGCGGCAGTTCTACCTGCTGCACTACAGCGCCAGCCCCAGTAATAAACTTTTAAGCTGATGTGCAATGGCCTGGAAGCTGAGTTATTTGGCCCAGGCTCTTTGGCCTCTACTGTGTGTCTAGGGCTCACGCCCCATACAGGACCAGGTGATGTATAGGCAGGATCTGGAGCAGACCCTTGAACAGGACCCTGGCACTCACTGCCCCCTCAGTGTGAGAGAAATTCAGAAAGCATTATCCTCAGCTGAGAGAGGGCAGGGGAACTTGGAGCACCTTGAAATCCCAGGCAGTGTGTGGGTGTAAACTGAGAGGTTGACATCCAGATTCTAGACCACTGATATCAGTGGGCTCAGAGTTAAAGCACAGAGAACACTGGTGGGTAGGGACACTTGTACAAGCTGGAGCTCCCAGGATTCCCATAAGTAGTCTGCTGAAAACGAGTTCACAAACAAAAACCATAAAACCTACACGCATGAAAAACAGTCCCCATAGTGCTACAAATAGGGTTAGCCCACAACTATATGGTCTAAAGACGTTCCTAAAAATGAAACTATTATCCTGAAATCTTAAATGTAATGAGTTAGTCATAGCTGAACAAAGACTTGGTGATAGGATGACAGCTGAAGAATTTACCAAGAATGCGGTAACAGAAAAAGTAAATAACAAACAGTGGAATGACCCAGAAGACAATCACGTGGCCTGTTGCACATTTGAGTTTGTGTGGTAGTGCTGAGTACGTGTGCAGTGTCATCACTGTCCCTAAGGTTTTACAAGAATTCATTGTTCATCTTGCTTTTGTGTTTTCAGTCTTTGCCCTAGAAGCAGTGAATTTTGGGGAAACACACAAACACTGAATATTAAATTTCTGCCTTCCGATCCAAGTCACTTTATTGTTGGCACAGACCTGGTGAGTAGTACTGTGAATTGCATTCTGTTACTCCTTCTTCTTTTCCAGTCACCTGATATGTCTTAATTTACCATTAACTTAGTACTTGCTTTTATTATGATTATTTTAATAATGAAAGCTTTATCCAACCCTATACTTAATATTTTTCTTTAATCATCATCTTATTACTAGGGTCTTATAAGCCATGGCTCAAGACAAGATTTGAAAGTATCTCCCAGGTTGTTCAAGTCTCAGCAGTGTGGAATAAGACCAGTAAAAGTTAATGTGATTGATTTTTCACCATTTGGAGAACCAATATTCCTGGTAAGAAAGTCTATTTTTTACAACAACAATTCTTTTTAACAGTGTTATTTGCCTACTTGGGCAGCTTAACATGTCCTTTGGAAAATTTGAAAAGTTGATCATGTACTAGGCCACAAACTTACTTATTAGGCCTTGGTGGTCTAAAAAGGAGAAACATGACATTAATAATAGAAATTTTTAAGACTAGAACCCACCTAGAAATTTACTTCTTAAGGAGTACTTTATTCAGTTGAAAACTATTTAGATTTTAACAGAGTATCAAATCTTGATACAACCAAAAATGTGTCAAGAAATTCTTAGTGCAGGAATTTTTGCCTTATGGACTTCTATTATTTAACCAAACATAATCACAGTCAACGTTCCGTGTCTGTAACTCCCAGAGAAAGTGTAGAGGTAGCCTTGCAGTGGGACACCCGTCTACAGGCTGCACGGGTATACTGCAGGGAACGTGTGGTGGAGTGTAGAGTCCTTAATCCCCTCTCCTCCAGGACCTGGTGACAACACAGCTCATCCCAACTCTAATTGACTTTGTAGGTCACTCAGGATGTGGGTTAGGCGGGGAGAAGGCAAAAACATGTTAGAACTTTAGATGATTAAATCTGGCAGTTAACTATTTTTTTTTTTTTTTGGACAGGCAGAGTGGACAGTGAGAGAGAGAGACAGAGAGAAAGGTCTTCCTTTGCCGTTGGTTCACCCTCCAATGGCCGCCGCGGCCGGCGCGCTACGGCCGGCGCACCGCGCTGATCCGATGGCAGGAGCCAGGAGCCAGGTGCTTTTCCTGGTCTCCCATGGGGTGCAGGGCCCAAGCACTTGGGCCATCCTCCACTGCACTCCCTGGCCACAGCAGAGGGCTGGCCTGGAAGAGGGGCAACCGGGACAGAATCCGGCGCCCCGACCGGGACTAGAACCCGGTGTGCCGGCGCCGCTAGGCGGAGGATTAGCCTAGTGAGCCGCGGCGCCGGCCTAAATCTGGCCGTTAACTATTAAGTGTTACGCCAGGATCAAGGCATGCATAGCTCAGCTCTCCCTTTCTCTCTCTAGTCCTTACAAACTTCTCTGTGCTTGAGATTGAGGGGAAAGATTTTCTTTATTTGTACTACAGTTACAGCACTTAAAGTATGTTATAAATTATATTTCTATGTCAGCATCTCTGCCAACGTTAAGATTGTTGAAGGCAGAGATTGTATGTTGTTCATCTTTATTTTTCCCAAGGTTATACTTGGCTGTGCAGTGCAGTGGCTACATGTGGCTGGCTGTTGGGCATTTGGCCAGAGTCGAGGTGTGCTGTAGGTATAAATCTACAGTAAATTGTCTGTTTTATGAAGGTGCATAAAAGAGCAGTGATGTTCCCCAGAAAGACTTGTGTGTATCCTGGCCTTGGGCCTAGAGCTGGTCCTAAGTGCAGAGCAGCTCTGGCTCCACAGGCTCTGGTTGCAGTGGGATGGGGCAGCCTCTGGAAGGTCCCCTCCCGCTTCACTGCTGCGTGAGGCACTGACCTGCATCTTTGGTCCTGGGAGGTTTGCTTGTGTCTGATGTTGCACACCTGATCCTTCGCTTTCTAAGAATCTTTTTATTTTTTTTTTTAATTTTTTTTTAAAATTTTTTGACAGGCAGAGTTAGACAATGAGAGAGAGAGAGACAGAGAGAAAGGTCTTCCTTCCGTTGGTTCACCCCACAATGGCTGCTGCGGCCAACGCACCGCGCTGATCCGAAGGCAGGAGCCAGGTACTTCTCCTGGTCTCCCATGGGGTGCAGGGCCCAAGAACTTGGGCCATCCTCCACTGCACTCCCAGGCCACAGCAGAGAGCTGGCCTGGAAGAGGGGCAACCGGGACAGAATCCGGCGCCCTGACTGGGACTAGAACCCGGTGTGCCGGCGCCGCTAGGCGGAGGATTAACCTATTGAGCCGAGGCGCTGGCCGTGTTCATATGTTTTAACTGAGAGGAGAAAGTTGTATGATTTTCCACTCCAGCATAGTTAAATGAGATGTTCTTATTCTAAAACCAAGAGCACTCTCTCATGTTGCCAGCATGATCGTAATCACCAGGAAGTCAGCACTGAAAAGATCCCGTTATCTAATGTACAGACCTCACTGAGTTCTCGTAGTGTCCTATATAAGCCAAATAGCATCCTGGGGCATACATCCCAGCTACTCTGTCACCTCCGTCTTTTTTGATCTGAGTTTCTCAGTCTTTTGTGACCTTGACGTTTTTGGAGGGCATTGGCCAGTTTTTTTGTAGAATGCTCCCCAGTGTGAGCTTGCCTGATGTTACCGTCATGATTACCTGCAGGCTTTACCCGTTAGCTGGAGTGGCTCAGAAGTGACATGTGTGCTGGGAGGGCCTGATGATACTGATTGATCCAGTCACTGATGGTGCTCATTCTGACCACGGGTGGGGGCCTCCTCCTCCGTGGCTCTCCTGCCAGCCCTTCCTAGTGACCATGTGTCTTAAATGGGGACACAAGTGGACACTGTGACTGCCGGAGACTCATGTTCACCCGCTCACTGAATCATCCATTGCTGCTGCTCGCCTGACGCTGTCACTGTGTGGCTGGCAAATGCTGATCTCTAATCCTGTCGTTCGTTCTCCATTTCCCGGTTGGCTTTCTGCTACTAGGGAGAGCGTCCCCTCTTCCCTGTGGATGTATGTGTGTTTTCATTTATCACGGGAATTTGCACATGTGGCCTTTTGTTTCACACAACGGGCTGTACTCATTTACTGTCAGTGTTTATTTTGCTACTCAAATTGTCCTCCCGGTTAGGCCAGTAGATATCTTTTTTTTTTTTTTTTTTTTTTTTTAAGATTTATTTATTTACTTGAAAGAGTTAAGCAGAGAGAAAGAGAGAGAGAGAGAGAGGTGTCTTCCATCCTCTGGTTCACTTCCCAGTTGTTTGACACAGCTGAAGCTGCACTGGTCTGAAGCCAGGAGCCAGGAGCTTCTTCTTGATCTCCCATGTGGGTGCAGGGGCCCAAGGACTTGGCCATCTTCTGCTGCTTTCCCAGGCCATAGCAGAGAGCTGGATTGGGAGTGGAGCAGCCGGGAATCGAACCAGCGCCCACATGGGATGCTGGCACTATTGACAATGGCTTTACCCACCACGCCACAGCGCCGGCCCCCATAGGTATCCTTTAAGCAGGCACCTATGTTCTTTTGATATAATTCTGTGAGCCCTTCCATTGCTTCCTGGTGCAAGCTCTAGAACTGGCCATTTCTCTAGGGAGTTCTGTCATCATTGGAGGAAAGTGTCCAGAAACCCACACCTGCACAGTAAGAAGTGGTCAGTGTGCTGAAGTCCAAACAGTGAGGCAGGACATCTATCCATACCTGCTTTTACCCAAGCTACAGGTCACAAGCAGAAATCTACCCCCATCTCTCACTCCATGTTAACTCGTAGGCTGCCTCTGACACTGATAGATTATTGATAATATACCTGTTTATTTGCTCATCGTAGAATATGCAGAGCCTCCATGCCTCTGTGACAAGAAACCCAAGTGGGTTCCGTATTGAGGATTCTTTCTGTGCTTGGAGTCAGAAAGTACGCTGTTGCCATACTGTGTTCAGAAATCAGTGGGCTGAGCTCTTGTTCCTCTCCCTTTGTGGTTATGTTATTTATTTGGAATGTAGGTTTTCAAATTTGTTTGTTTGTATTTCATCTTCGAATTTGCCCCCCCAGGCTGGTTGCTCAGATGGAAGCATCAGGCTGCACCAGCTGACCTCCGAGCACCCCCTTGCGCAGTGGGACAACAGCACCGACGGACGCGCTGTCACCGGCCTGCAGTGGTCCCCAAGCAGGCCTGCTGTGTTCCTGGTCCAGGATGAGGCATCCAGGGTTTATATCTGGGACCTCCTCGAGAGTGATCTGGGCCCTGTGGCCAGGCAGTCCATCTCCCCAGACGGGTAAGCAGTGCACTCAGGACGCCCCACATCACTGCAGCTGGATCCTAGGCAGGGGTGTTGCTGAGGATTTAGTTAAACTTCTACTTTAAAAAACTTAACTGGCACATAGTAAGTGTGCATATTTATGGAGTACTTATTTAATTTATGCATAAAGCCACTGCATTTTAAAATGTGGCTATTTAAATTTAATTAATCAGAGGTACTTGAGAAAGTTCAAGGAAAATGGAATGAAAGGGTCAGTTTATTTGGGTGCAGAAAAATTTTTAAATCCATGTATACTTTTTTCACAGGAAAGTTAATGGAAAATGTGTATTGTGAAAATATAATTGATGGACTTATATCAAGACATTATCACCCAGAATCCAATTTGCATTAGGGTGTACTCTTGGTGTTGTACATTTACATAATATTTTAAAGTGCTTTTAAGGTTTTTATTTTATGTGAAAGGCAGAGAGAGACAGACACAGAGAGCTCCTGTCCATTGGTTCCCTCCTCACATGCCTCCAACATTTTGGGGCTGGGCCACGCTGAAGCCAGGAACCGGGTCATTGCAGGTCTCACATGGGCAGCAGTGACCAAGTATTTGAGCCGTCACCTGCAGCCTCCCACGGTGCAGATGAGCAGGAGGGTGGAATCAGAAGCAGAGTCGGAACTTGAACCCAGGCACTCCAGTAGGGACACGGACGTCCCAGGTGATGGCTTAACTGCTGCACCAAATGCCCACTGCTGGGCAATATTTTGAAAACCACTTTAAAATGCGGTTATTTTATGTTTATCCCAAAATAGTCTAATGAATTAAAGATTTGTAATATACTGTTTCCCCATTGTCATGATTCTGTAAGTAAAAGGAAAGTTTTTGTAAGCTTCTTGGTTATATTCATGTGCCAGTTTTATAAATTCAGCATGTCTGTGATATACAGAGTATTCCTTCTGGTATCAAAAACAGAATAGTATGTGAGAATAAGTAATTCACGTAGTTTCACACTGTTGAACCATTTCAGAGTCAAATCATCTCAGCATCCCTGCCGTGGCCTTTCCATCAATTCATGTGAAATTCACTAATGTGAATTTAAGACATTAAATGTGAATTAATGAGTCTTTATCTTTGTTGTCTTTTTTCAAAGTAGAAATATTTATAGAAGCTTTCATTACGAAGGGTTCTCTCTGGTATGAGTTTGTCTGTTCACCTGTGTTTTTTCTTGAGACTTTACATTTCTCAAAACTTCCTCTCCGGGGAAGAAAAGGAACTCCCAAATATAACCCCAAATCCCGTTTGTAAAGGTAAGAGGAAGATAGAAAGCCAGATAATAGTTTGATCGACTGTTAGGAATACACTGATAAGGTGTGAAAAAATACTGAGGGTTGGATTTATGTAATTCAAATGCTAGGCATACTGACATTATTCTAATTGTTAGAAAAAAATACACCAAAAAAGTTCATCCTGTGGATACATGTACACTCATAGTGCATCTGTAGTTTATTTTCCGGAAAGTCTGCCTGTCCATTGTTTAGTAAATAAATACCGAATTTATTGAGCTCCAGCTGTGTACCTGGCACTGCTCTAGACCCTGGGTATAACACGGAGCCAGTCAGGACTGCCCCCACTTCCTGGTTAGCCAAGATGGGTGATACATAAGACAAGGAACGCAGAAGATGTGTTAGAATGTATGCGATGTTGAGAATTAAAATAGTAAGGGGCCAGGAGTGGGGGCAGTAGGCTGTTGGGGAAGATGGTCCTGTTGAGAGGGGACATTTGGGCAAAGACATAGGAGATGAATACCAGGGGCCTGCCTGGGCAGGAGAGCAGGCAAACCAGTCCCACGATGGACTGCGCTGGTGTGGGGAGGCCGCGGTTGCCCGTGGGACAGGGACACTGGCTGAGTGGGATGAGAGTTGTGGGAGGTGAGCAGAACAATGACGAGTCCTGTTTGATCAGGTCCAGATGCACTGTTCAGAATATGTTTGCGCACGTTAGCTGGATAAGGAGCCCTCCTCCGTGGAGCCTCGTCTTGCATCGCACCATGTGTGCTGGGGACCGTGGTTGCAGTCTAAGAACCTGACGACTCTTGCCCTGGCGAGGGCCCTCTCTGCCGTGTCCCGTGCCAGTGCTGGACACGCGAGGGACCGCCCGTCCTTGTGTCTGCTTCTCGGGAGCTTGCGGGAGGGAGGTGGCAGTTGAGCAGCTTGTTTGCAGCTGTGTTTCAGTTAGAAAAAAGTAGGAGCCAGTGCTGTGGTACAGTGGCCAGCATTGTGGCACAGCAGGGTTAAGCCCTCACCTGAGATGCCATGTCCTGTATGAGCACCAGTTCCAGTCCCAGCTGCTCCACTTCTGATCCAGCTCTCTGCTGTGGCCTGGGAAAGCAGTGGAGGATGGCCCAAGTCCTTGGGCCCCTGCATCCACATGGGAGACCTGGATGGAATTCCCAGCTCCTGGGTTCGACTTGGTGCTGCCTTGGCCATCGTGGCCATTTTGGGGGAGCTCGCTCTCTCTCCCTTTCTCTGTATCGCTGTAACTCTGTCATTCAAGCAACCAAATCAATCTTTTTTTTTTTTTTTTTAAATAATGTTACATAGAAAGTTCTGAATTGTTTTTCTCTAGCTCTAAAGAAAATCAGACCAAGAGGAGTGCAATAGAGTTTGACAGGAGTTTAGATTAAATAGAGGAAGGATTTACCACTTTTAGAGTTTTTTAGGCTGAAATTCATGATAACCACCTTCCTGTTCTGCAGTCACTCATTGAAAGCAGACAGCTCCTCTCTAGGGCTTCTTGGGGCCAGCCCAGGAGCTGTTGTAATCGGTTTGGCAAACAAATGTTAAACCTAGGCTTTGGTTTTCATATTTTGCCCTGCTTCCCTGATTCTGTCCAACTCAAATCTTGAAGATATTTCAAAAAATTCTCCAATGATAGCACTAATTCCCCAATGGTAGTGTTTAAAAAAACATTTATAGAGATAGTTTATCAATGAACTACATTCTGTTCCTCACCCCACTCCTCCAGTCCTTATTCCAGGGATACCTTTTAGGATTATCATCCATTCTAATTTTTTTTAAGCTTTTGTTTGGTGAATACAATTTTCATAGATTCAACTTTGGGAATACAGTGGTTTTACCCCCCATACCCACCCTCCCTCACCTACTCCCATTCCACCTCTTACTCCCTCTCCCATCGCATTTTTCATTAAGATTCATTTTTAATTATCTTTATATACAGAAGACTAATCTATACTAAGTAAAGATTTCAACAGTTTGCAAACACACAGACATACAAAGTATAAAGTACTGTTTGAAGACTAGTTTTACAGTTAATTCTCATAGTGCAACTCATTAAGGACAGAGGTCCTACATGGAAAGTAAGTGCACAGTGACTCCTGTTGTTGATTGAACAATTGACACTATTATTTATGACATCAGTGATCACCCAAGGCTCTTGACATGAGCTGCCAAGAAAACTATGGAAGCCTCTTGAGTCCACAAACTCCGTCAGTATTTAGGGCCATAAGGAAACTAGAAGTTCTCTCCTCCTTTCAGAGAACAGTACCTCCTTCTTTTTTTTTTTATTTATTTATTTATTTATTTATTTTTTTTTTGACAGGCAGAGTGGACAGTGAGAGAGAGAGACAGAGAGAAAGGTCTTCCTTTGCCGTTGGTTCACCCTCCAATGGCCGCCGCGGCCGGCGCGCTGCGGCCGGCGCACCGCGCTGATCCGATGGCAGGAGCCAGGAGCCAGGTGCTTTTCCTGGTCTCCCATGGGGTGCGGGGCCCAAGCACCTGGGCCATCCTCCACTGCACTCCCTGGCCACAGCAGAGGGCTGGCCTGGAAGAGGGGCAACCGGGACAGAATCCGGCGCCCCGACCGGGACTAGAACCCGGTGTGCCGGCGCCGCTAGGCGGAGGATTAGCCTAGTGAGCCGCGGCGCCGGCCCAGTACCTCCTTCTTTGATGGCCCCTTCTTTCCACTGGGGTCTCACTCACCAAGATCTTTCATATAGGATAATTTTTGCCACAGTGTCTTGGCTTTCCATGCCTGCATTGCTCTCATGGGCTTTTTAGCCACATCCGAATGCCTTAAGGGCTGATTCTGAGGTCAGAGTGTCATCCATTCTTGATGTTTCCAGGTCTGTGGCAGTTAAACTCTACCTGTATTTTACATGACTGATCAAACAGCAATACTGAAATGTTAAACAGTGTAAGTTCTAATGACTTGTCATGGTCTGCCCCTGTTGTGTTCTTGCGAGGAATTAGTTCTTACACCTGCCCTTGTTCCTCGTAATGCTGTAACTTCTCTCTAGCAAGAGCTCCTGGTGGCTGTTCAGTGAACACTTCAGAGGCACATTGTCAAGCCCCAAGTGCATTTCTCTGAGTGCTCAGGTGGGTTCCCCCAGTGCAACTCTGGCTTCGCCTTGGCCACCCATGTGCTAGGGAATGCTATGGTGACAGCAGAGGCTCCTGTCCGTGTGCTCTGAGGGCTCATACCATGGGAGTCTGGCTGCCCTGGGTATTTGGATTACAGAGACAGCATTTACTTCATGTTAGTAGACAGAGCTGTTGGGCCACACAAGGGGGATTCGTTCTAGCCCTCTGCTGCCTGCTGGTGAGAGCTCAGTGTGTCCTGCTTCCAGTCATGTGCCCCACTGAAACGGTGCAGCACTGTGTAGTGCCAGACCCTGGCTGCTGATCACTAGGGAGTAAGACAAGGGGGAGGGGCCATGTTGAGGAAGGCGCTAGGTTAAACCCGATGATTCAGGCTGTGACTGAGACATTCCTGGGGTGCTGTGGGAGTCCTGGGGGGGGGGCGGGGGGCTGACCCAGATGTGCTGCAGTCAGGGGGTCCTGGGAGATTTCTCCAGGTGATGGCACTGATAGATGGGAGTGTGCTGGACAAAGCTGGATAGGAGGAGTCTCTGAGGCACTGGGAGAGGAAGCCAGTCCCCAAGCTGCAGGTGCCTGGAGCGGGGAAGGAGGGAGGGTGGGGAGAGCTGGATTTGTAGAGGTTCTGGGCCAGCGCAGGCTGGCGGAGGCCTTCTGGAAGACTGAATGCTTTCCTGCGGGCAGCAGGATGGGATTTAAGTGGGGGCAGCACAAACACTGCGTGTGTGTTTCAAGTCTGTCAGCTGTGGGGAGGGAATAAGATTCAGGATGGGCAGTGGGGATGATCTCACGGTGGGGATGTCCTGTGGGAGGAGACAGAGGTGTTGGCCCAGCCCTAGGTCTCTTGCACGGGCACTTGATGGATGGATGAAGGAGGTGACCAGCGGTCAGCGGGTGGCCTCGGCTGTAGATGCAGATTTCTGAGCACTGACACTGAGCTGCTGGCCGTCTCCTCTGGGGAGGCAGTGAGGAGACCAAGGACGAGGCACCAGGAAACCTCATGCTGGGGCCCCACGTCAGGGACGCAGCTGTCCGAGGCTCTGGGGTTGGGCAAGACCTGCCGAGGTCACTCTTGAGCTGAGCAGAGAGGAGGCACATTGAGAGCGTCCTCCCACCTGCGTGAGGCTGCTGCAGAGTTCCCGGCCTGCCTGGGGTAACACGTGCTCATCAGTCACTTCGTCAAGTCAGCGGCCCCGTAGAGGTCTAAGGTGCAGAAATACACTCTCTGTAGATTTTCACATTTTATTTCTGGTCTCACTTTTCATTTTGACTGTTGCCCTTTTTTATTTCTCTCCCATTTCACCCTCCCTTTGCAAGATGGATTTGTGGGAGACTCGGAAGGAACAGGAAGTCTCACACACGTGCACCAACTTCTCTGTTTATGCCCCTTCTCGCCCGCAGGCTGGTGGCCATGGCCGTCATGGGGGAGCCGGAGAAGGCCAGCAGCAGCTTCTTGGCCCTGGTGCTGGCCAGGGCCTCCGGCACCATTGACGTTCAGTACTTGAAGAGGCAGTGGACAACCCCAGAGGAGGACGAGCCTGGCCGGCTGCGTCTGCTTTTACAGGAAACCGTGTGGAAAAAAGGAAGATTACAGATCTAACAGTGTTGTTGACAGGACGTGTTTATGTAATGACCCAAATTTAAGAGACAAAATTATAAGGTGGATAATTTTACATCTGTGTGCATGTGTATTTCTGTATATGGACCCTGTATATTCTGTACATAATTTACTTCACAAGAATGTTGCTTTGATATTCCCCATAAATAAATTGCTATTTTTGAACAGAAACAAATGAACATCATAGTGTATACGAAATTTCAAAGGAAATACAGTCATGTCCAGTGTGTGCTGTTCTGACAATATTTCTAGTGAATTTTAGAACAGATTTAATGCTGGCACATTACTGGATTTCTAAACAGTCCACCATGATGAAAATGTGTTTTAATGAGCTATTTTCTTAATTGTTCATAGAATGATATATATATATGTGTGTCTACATTAAAAGGCATGATTCCATGATCGCATTATTTCTCATTAGAGTGCTCAGACACATTTTTTACAATGCATTAGTATTAAAAATTGTCTTCTATAGAAGTACTACGGGTAAAGAAATCCTCTTGAATCTTGTAATTGAATATATGAATCGATGGTGCTTTTATAGCAACATGCCTGGGGCTAGGTGATCTGTAGGAGTGGAAATTCTCACAGTTGTGGAAGCTGAAGTCCACTAGCGACACATGGGCAGGGTCTGCGTCCAGGAGGGTCCGTTGTTGCTGTGTCCTCGCAAGGCAGGAGCTGGAAGAGCAGAAGTGCGCAGGACACTGCTTCAGCCTCCTGGAAGACCACTGATCTGTCGTGGGAGCTGTGCTTCACAGAGGACCCCACTCTTGGTACTGCCCTTGGGGGAATTTCACTTCCAGCCTAGGAGCTTTGCAGGGACACATGCACGGGGTCGGGGAATTCCGGGTGCGATCACAGGAAAGCCAGGAGCGCTGCTGTGAGGATACCTCCTGCGCTTCTCTTGATGGGTCTGTGAGGGTACAGACAGGCGTGTTTACATCCCCTCACTGCCTCAGAGGATCGTCTCCACTTACCCGGCTGGACCTGGAGAGTCCTAGAGCTGGAGGGATCTGAGAGGCCACTGCCCACGTAACCCCGATGCTGTGGGGACAGCCCACGTCTCCCGATGCTGTGGGGACAGACCACATCTCCTGGATGCTGTGGGTACAGCCCACATCTCCTGAAGCTGTGGGTACAGCCCATATCTCCCCTGATGCTGTGGGTACAGCCCACGTCTCCCTGATGCTGTGGGTACAGTCCACGTCTCCCCTGATGCTGTGTGTATAGCCCACGTCTCCTGATGCTGTGGGTACAGCCCACATCTCCCCTGATGCTGTGGGTACAGCCCACGTCTCCCTGATGCTGTGGGTACAGCCCACGTCTCCTGACGCTGTGGGTATAGTCCACGTCTCCCCTGATGCTGTGGGGACAGTCCACGTCTCCCCGATGCTCTGGGTACAGCCCACGTCTCCTGATGCTGTGGGTACAGCCCATGTCTCCTGATGCTGTGGGTACAGCCCACATCTCCCCGATGCTGTGGGTACAGCCCACGTCTCCTGATGCTGTGGGTACAGCCCACGTCTCCTGATGCTCTGGGTACTGCCCACGTCTCCCTGATGCTCTGGGTACTGCTCACGCTTCCCTGCAGGGTGGGACTGTGCTCTCTGAACTTCTGAGATGCTCTCCTTCCAGTCACCTGAGTAGCCCCGGAACCTTTACTTCTGTTCTTACACTGATTTTTTTTTTTAAAATAACTTATTTATTTGAGAGGTAGAATTACAGATAGAGAGAAGGAGAGACAGAGAGAGGTCTTCCATCTGCTGGTTTACTCCTCAAGTGGCTGCAACAGCTGGAGCTATGTAATCCAAAGCCAGGAGCCAAGGGCTTCCTCCGGGTCTCCCATGTGGGTGCAGGGGCCCAAGCACTTGGGCCATCTTCTACTGCTCTCCCAGGCCACAGCAGAGAGCTGGATCGGAAGAGGAGAAGCAGGGACCAGCACTGGTGCCCATATGGAGGCTTAACCGCAGGTAGAGTCTTAACCTGCTGTGCTACAGCTCCAGCCCCTCTCACGCTGATTTAAATTATCAAAAATTGTACGTTTGTTACGACAGTTGACATGGGGCCAGCGTTGTGCACAGAGCAGGTTTAGCTGCCACTTGAGACACCGTCATCCCGTGTTAGAGTGCTGGTTTGAGTCCTGGCTCCTGTGCTGGTGATCCAGCTCCCTGCTAATGTTCCTGGGCAGGCAGCCGATGATGCAAGTGCTTGGGCCTCTGCCACCGAAGTGGGAGACCCCGGTGGAATTCCTGGTTACTGGCTCTTTGCTGGCCCACGTCTGGCTGTTGCAGCCATCTGACAAGTGAAGCAGTAGATGGAAGATCTGCCTCTAATTTCCCTTTCTCTGTCACTCTGCCTTTCAAATACAATTTTTAAGAAAAAAAAAAAAAACACAAAGCAATTGAAGCAGAATAGTATCCCCTGTGGCCTTCCCTTCCCCATCCATCCTGTCCAGAGGCTCAGCGTTGTGTGTGCTTTTAGAACTTTCCAGGCATGTAGACATGCACACACATACATGTGGACATCCGTGTACACAGTTTTGCCATGATCCCTAATGAAGACAACAGTATCTTTCGGGGGTTGGCTTTACTCTGTCGTACTGGCCACTGAATCCCCATACCTTCCACAGTGCCTGGCATATACACAGGGTCTTCAAGAAGACTGTGGAAAATGTGTTTTTCAGAAGAGCTCTGCATGGTTTTTTTGTTTTTTTTTTGTTTGTTTGTTTTGTTTTGTGTTTTTGTTTGTTTGTTTGTTTGTTTTTTAATTTATTTTTTTGACAGGCAGAGTGGACAGTGAGAGAGAGAGACAGAGAGAAAGGTCTTCCTTTGCCATTGGTTCACCCTCCAATGGCTGCCGCGGTCGGCGTGCTGCGGCCGGCGCATCGCGCTGATCCAAAGGCAGGAGCCAGGTACTTCTCTTGGTCTCCCATGGGGTGCAGGGCCCAAGAACTTGGGCCATCCTCCACTGCACTCCCTGGCCACAGCAGAGAGCTGGCCTGGAAGAGGGGCAACCGGGACAGAATCCGGCGCCCCGACCGGGACTAGAACCCGGTGTGCCAGTGCCGCAAGGCGGAGGATTAGCCTAGTGAGCCGCAGCGCCGGCGTCTGCATGGGTTTCAAAACATGTTTGCATCAAGACACACTCGTCCTAGCTTGCGATACATGTCTGAAGTGGCTCTAGCTTGAGGTTCTAAGAAGGACACACGTCAGAACCACATGAGTTCTGCCACAGTTTTGAAGCAAGAGCAGACATTGAATTGCCGGTGAAGACTGGAGGAAGGATGGTGACATCGTGGATGCTTTGCACAGCTTATGGAGACACTGCTCCAGACAAGTCATCAACTTACAAATGGTCAAGTTGTTTTAAGGAGGGAGAAGTAAAGCCCACCCTGGGAGACCACCCACAGCAACTTGCAGAGAAAAAATGTTTGTGCCCTGATTGAAGAGGACCTGTGATTAACAGCAGAAACAGTAACCAATACCCTAGACATCTCACTTGATTCAGCTTATACAAGGCTGAAAATTTAAAAGGCACAATTAAACCCTCTGCCCAGTGGTGCCAAACTGTTGCTCCCAGATCCGCTCAGGCAAGAGCGGAAGTTTCAGTGGAAATTTTCAACAAGTGGGATCAAGGTCTTGCATGATTCTTTGCAAGAATTGGAACAGGAGATGAAATACAGCTTGGCTGGTACAACCGTGAAGACAAAACACAGCCAAAGCACTGATTGTGAAGAGTGAATGGAAGTTAAACAAGAGCCAAGGGCATGGTAACAGTTTTTTGGGATACCCAAAGCATTTTGCTTGATGACTTTCTGTAGGGCCAAAGAACCAATAATATGTGCTTATTAGAAGAGCTTTTTGGGGGCCTGCACTGTGGCATAGTGGTTAAAGCTGCTGTCTGCAGTGCCGGCATCCAGTTTGAGTCCTGGCTGCTCTACTTCCGATCCAGCTCTCTGCTGTGGTCTGGGAAAGCAGTAGAAGATGGCCCAAGTGCTTGGGCCCCTGCACCCACATGGGAGACCTGCAAGAAGCTCCTGGCTCCTGGCTTCGGATCGGCCCAGTTCCGGCAGTTGCGGCCATTTGGGGAGTGAACCAGCAGATGGAAGACTCCTCTCTCTCTCTCTCTCTCTCTCTCTCTCTCTCTCTGCCTCTGCCTTTCAAATAAATAAAATAAAATAAAATCTTTTTGTAAAAAAAGAATAAGAGCAGTTTGACAAAAGTTTGCAAAAACTTTAGCAGAAAAGTGCCCGAGTCAGCGAAGCCTGCACCACAGAAATGCCCCTGCTCCTTCCTCTCTTCAAGGGGGGTTTTGGAGGAGTTTCAGGAGAAGGCCATCAGGCATTCAGTACACAGCCCTGATCTGGATCTTTCAGACTACTGTTTGTTTCCGATTCTTAAAAAATTCCTGAAAGGCCATCCAGTTTTCCTCAGTTAGAAATATTAAAAAGACTGCATGGACATGGTTCAAAAACCAGGATCCTCAGTTCTTTTGGGTGAACTGAATGGATGTAATCATTGCTAACAAAAATTTGTTGAGTTTCATGGAGGTTACATTGAGAGAGTTTTTAAATATATATATGTAAAGATTTATGTATCTGAGAGGCGGAGTTAGAGAGAGAGGGAGAAACAGAGAAATTTTCCTTTTGGTTCACTCCTCAGATGGCTATGATGGCTGGGGCTGCGGAAGGCTGAAAAGCCAGGAGCCCAGACCTCCATCCAGGTCTCCCATGTAGGTAACAAGGACTGGAATATGTGGGCCATCTTCCACTGGCTTC